GGGTCATTGTTTGGGCCCTAATGGCTCAGAGTGAAGGTAAATAGCAATAGTTTCTGTTACAGACAGAAACCTGGAGGGACTTCCTTCCCAGACTGATTTTTTTGACTAGGTGAAAGAGGCCATTCTTTGCCTCATTTCTTACCTACCTACCCTTAATCACTGAATGGGCAGTCAAACTGAGACTTGGGAAAGACTTAAGGAAAAAGGCCAAGGTCTCCCACTGCATCTAGGGCCATCTCTAGTCATACTGATCTGTATCTTGCCACTGGACCCACGTGGCTCCAGAAGAGAAAATAAGGCTGGTAACCTTGCACAGACCTGCCTCATTTAAATCCAATTCACTTCAAGTCATGGCATCACCTTCCTGTTCTCATGGTCTTCTTTGAGAAAGAAAGGCAAACAATAACAGCAATACTTACAATATATACCATTGTAAATAGCCTCATTGCTATGTCTGAATACGTAGCGCTTAGCTGCACTGTTACAAAATTGTCAGTGTTCTGCTTGATCTTCCTGAAATAAGGTATCCTAAAGATAGATTTTAATCTCCTTAAGCTGCATTTCAGGAGGAGGCCCAGCATAGTCTTCTCCCCACTTCCCACCAACTCCACAGCTTTTGGACTTTTCTTTCCTTCCTACTCCCTTGCTGCGGTATCTTCTTCCCTGACCTGCTTTTTTACCTTCCTTTTGTTTCTTGTCTTCCCCCTTGGATTGTTAACTCTTTTGAGTTCAGGGACCATCTCTCTATGTATTGGCATTTCTGTCTCCAGTACTTAACACAGTTTCTGGCACACTGTAGGCACTCATTAAATGTTTATTCATTGGCTGACTGATGTCCTTGTAGTAAGAATCTCCAACAAAAGCAAACAAATGAAATAAAAACAAAACAAACAAACAAAAAACCTAGTCTGGCACTGTCCAATATGAAATATATAAAAACCCAAGGGTGTCATAAAAACAGGGATAAACTACTCAAGAGGGCACATGGGTATTTGACTTTAGTGACTTACTCAAACGTTTTTGTACTTTTTAACTAGAGGAGAAGTAAACAGTTTACAAAACCTGAAATCTTTGCGTAGCTATGTGGAATCATGACAATTTTCCAAGCCATTTTTCTTGCTGATAGTTTATCTATGAATTGAAGAATAGAAGTCCTGGATGCTGGTTTGATCATGCATACTCCCTGGCCTCTCTCCACTGTGTAGTTGCAATACTTCAAAGGGATGAACACACTCTCTTTGAAAAACTGGGTGCCACTTACAATGGCCTTTGAAAGGTAGAAAGTATTACATTATAGTCCTAAACATCACAGTGGCTTTTAAATGTCTTCACTATGTGTGAATAACTGTTCAAGTAGTAAGAACAGTGTAAAAACACAGGGGCAATATGTATACTGATAAGCTTTTCCACACCATATAGTGTAAATTCATCATGCAGAATTTAATAGTGCAGATATGTAGTTTATGATTTGAGATCTGAGGGTTTTTTTATCATCTCAACAAAATCACTATTTGAGTGACTTACAAGAATCTTATCAGTTATCCTGAATCTGAGGAGATTGATTTAAATAATCAGTGGTAATTCAGTGGTTGGTAACTTTATTTCTTGCATAGCCCTTTTCAGGCAGAACATAATTTTAGGTATAACCAGTATATAATTATACTGATTAGGTATAATCAGTAAATAATCAATAAGGATTTATTAAGTGCTTACTATCTGCCAAACACTGGGCTAACAAAGAAAGGACAAAAAAGAAAGGACAAGGAATAAATATTCTAAAGAAGGAGATAATATGAAACTAATTAGATCCAACCCAAGATATATGCACAATAAAGGAAGATCGTTGTCTCTCCTTCTGTCCTTCTGTCTTAGAAGACCAAAGATATCACCAGGGTCATGTCTTGACTTGCACATGAATTGATATGAGTGAAGCAGAACCACCCAAAGTCATCAACCTCAATCTCTCTTTCAGAGTCATCAAAATTCAGTGGCAAGACAAAAATTAAGATGACTGGCTATGGCCCAGGATGCTGTGGGTGACCTTGGCCGTCCTAAATTAAGGTCTTTTCTAGGTCTCAGTCTATCTATGGCCATATCTATTCAATGACTAGGGGCTTGGTATGACTTGAGACATAAGATGGCTCAATTTACCATCATGAAGATAGCATTCTGGGAGGGGAAGACCCTCAGAATTCGTAGCCGGAACATTAAATAATTGCTATTTACACTCATTCTAAGCCATCAACACCTAAAAAAATGAGCCCCAGAGGCTTGGGTTGGGGCTATTATTGGCCAGTCAGTGAAAGCCTGGGTGATTTGGGTTTAATGTAATTAATTGGAAGGTAATCTCAGAAGGGAAGGCATGGGGGCTGGGGGGGAAGGAATGAGACCTGAAAGACCTCCCGCAGAAGGTACATATCATTGCTTGTCAACTTCTACTATAGTTCTTAATCAATTTGTTATGTAACACTTTCCCATATGCTTTTTTTGTTTCTTTGTTTTTGTTTTTGGTGAGGCAATTGGGGTGAAGTGACTTGCCCAGGGTCACACAGCTAGTAAGTGTCAAGTATCTGGTCTGAGACCAGATTTGAACTCAGGTCCTTCTGACTCCAGGGCTGGTGCTCTATCCACTGCACCACCTAGCTGACCCTTATATGCTTTTATATAATCATTAATAACCCAATGCAAGAGATTGTGCAGTGTAGTGAATAGAGGGAAAGCTGCATTCCAATCCTTCCTCTGACTTGTATTATGTTACCACTTGACTTCACTTCTAGACGGAGAGACAGAGGGCGTGGGGAGAGAGAGAGACAGGAAGATAACACAACAGTTCATATATATATGTATGTGTATATATACACATATATGTCCATGTATATACACATATATGTATACATACAAACATACATATGTGTGTATATACACAGACAAGCAGAAACAATGAGGAAACTGAAATTAAAAGAAAAAAATGGAAAGAACTAGCTTGATCTTCAAAATGCCTGGTACACTGACAACTGAGCACATAATATGTAAAGAGGTTTTATGCCTCTCTTTTGCTAAATCTGACAGCTCAGATGAGAATTCTGTTTGATGACTGTAGGCAGAGGGATTTCTTAGAGAAAACAAGTATTCAAGTTAAATTTAAATCACAAGTTGAATTTTCACATTATTCTTTCATTTTGTAAGATTCTGGAGGTTACTGGCATGAAGATAAGTGTACCAGCTGGCCCACATTCCCTAGCATCATATCACTATCTTCAAATGCTTCCATTACTTTGTTAGCATGTAATGGAACTATCTACAGATTACCTCTGCTATGGAAACAAAAAGTGAAACTTCCATATGCCTAACCCAGTGGTTCAAGTTAATTAGACTATAACGCACACATTTCAAATTATATAATTTTTTTTCATAATAATTATACGCTATGGAGACATCTATTAAAAGCCTAGAGTGATAATTTAAATGCAAAATTCCTGATAGAATTCTATTATATTTTTCATACTAAATTAATATTACAGGCTTCTAATGGGTGCTTTAATTAGGCATTGATGTTATCAGCAATATTTGGCCAAATAAAATCTGCCACTGGGAAACATTCATTAAGCTTAATCTGTGTCAGTCAATAGTAAGACTTGTCTGAGCCTTGTGACTTTAAGGTGGTAGCAAGGAGTTACCACCCTTGCAAAAATTTGGTTTCCCCACAAAATGATTAAATATTTGATTATTAGGTATCTTTTATATTTCATCATTTTCAGACAAACTACTAATTATTAGACATTTCTAATTGCTGAGCAGTATACCTGAGGACCTCTCTGACACAGAAGCATCGCATTAAAAAATTTTATCAGTGCATTTTTTCTGTAATTAAAAAAAATAGTGGCAGTTTTTTATGGTAGCAAAGAAGTGGAAATGAGGTAGATGCTCACTGATTGAGCAGCTGCTGACCAATGTATATGAATGTAACGGGATATTTCTGTGCTGTGAGAAGTAATGAACACGATGAATAGAGAAGCACAGGAAGACTTGGATGAACTGATTCAAAGGGAAGGCAGTAGAAGCAGAAAAACAACATATACAATGATGACAACAATGTAAATGGAAAGAACACTAAAACAATCAAAACTGAATGTTGCAAAATTATGATGACCAAGCTTGACTGCAGAGAAGAGATATGAAAAGATATCCCCTGCCCACTGGCTACTCTCATCCTCTGCAGAGCAGAGTAGAACATTATAGGTGACTTTAGGCTCTTTTCAATGTGTTGCTTGATTTTGCTGAATGTTTTCTCTCTTCTTTTTTTTGGTTTACATTATAAAGGATGGAACTCTGTAAGGAGGAATGGGGAGGGAGAGAAATGGGGAAATGTATGTCATGTAAAAACAAAAAAAATTACGTCTAAATGTGTATATAATTGGGTGTTGTTTATATATACATATGCATTTATTTATATATAAATTGTATGTGTATATAATTGTACATGTAAATGATATATACATGTACTTGTTTTATATGTGCATGTATACACATATGTATATGTACACATATATTTTACTTTTTTTACATCACCTACAATTTTCCTTATATCATTCCCTCTCCCTTCCTCCTCATAGACCTCCATAAAAAAATCAGCAAAATCAAATGACAAGTTGGAAAAAAGTTCATGCAATGCTCCTATATATGTGCATATATTTATATAATATATACACATAGGTATATAATACATATGAACACCCATACAGATGCCCACAAGAAAGGTGCGTGCGATCTTCTCATTCCACCCCCTCTCTTTAAGCAACTCTAAAATGGAAATCAATGTTAGAGTGGCCTTGGCACTGGTTGGTGGAGGAAGGAGATGCAGAAGTGAATCAGTGTTCTCTGATAGGCTGTGACAGAAAACAACACACAAAGGGAGAAGTAGAAGCAGCCCTGAAGTAAACAATCAAGGGTGGAAAAAAAAAAAATTGGCCAAGCTTGGGAATGGCCATTGTGCTACTTACCAGTGATTTTTCCATTAGCTTCTAAAGGAGGCTGCCAGCTCACAATGACAGCTCGAGGCTTCCCTTCCCGAGTAATGACTGTCAGATCCTTGGGTGCAGAAGTTGGAGCTGCAAAAGCAGATAGAAAAAAAGAAGCTTTATCACTGAGAATGAAAGAAAACAAACACCCATGGGATGTTCAATCATGATCTGGCTTTGTCAGTAGCTGGTCAAGTACTTATTTCTTATTCCCCTCCCTTCCTTCTTCACCTACACCCCTTTCCCCCATGTCTGGATTTAAACCAAGTGAGAAGAAATATTCAGGGCATTCCATGGAAGCCAAAGGTACTGGTTTTAGGAAACAATGCACATAGCATTGAAATGTTTTTAGTTGATTTCTACACTGGAAAAGTGAAAATATCTATAAGTAACTGGCTACTTACCTCTTTACCTACTTACATCTTTAGCATTTGTATTAATGCATTGCTCTATATTTAAAAAAATTTATCTATACTAACCCATCACTCATAGTATTACAGAGTTTAGAGCTAGAAAAGACATAGAGGGCAACTAGTCAAACACTTTCATTTTACAGATGAGAAAACTGAGACCCAAAGTCATAGTAATAGCAACTGGGAGAGATGGAAGTAAAACCCAGGTCCTCTGATTTCCATTCCAGTCCCATATTTTTTTTCCCATTGGAAGTAGGCCTTTTGGTATTTTAGGACTTGCAAGTTAAAACAGAAACACTAACTTGCTCTACCTAGGCTGTGTGGTGTTAAGGAAAGCACTGGCTCCAGAGTCAGAAGACCCAGGTCAAACTCCTGACCTTTGTCAAGGCCTGTATGACTGTGGAGAACTCATTCAACCTGCAAATTAACTGCAGCTTTTCTGGGTCTCAGGATGCAAAATGGAGATCTGGGCTAGATCGTTTCCAGGGTCACCTGTAGCTCTAAATCTATGATCCTATGATAGCCACTAAAATCTAAATAAGAGGAAAAGGGTTTAATGGGAGCAGAACAGATTCAGGATGACAAGGCAAATCTTATTTTGGAGGTGATAGCAGTCAATGAGGTATTAATTAAGCTAGGGTTTCTACTCAATCTGTTAAAGATACACACACACACAGGTATATGCCATACTACCTTTTGTATGTATTCTTTCTTACTTTCTCTTAATAGATCATAGATCTAAAGTGAGTAGGGACGTTAGAGACCACCTCTTCTAACCCTTTCATTTTACTGAACCTCAGTGAGGTGAAGTGACTCGCCCAAAATCATTCAATATCAGAGAAATTGGAAACCTGGTCTTCTGACTTCAGAGTTGGACATCCTTTCTCCTGTGCCTTGCTGTCTTGTCTCTCTCTTCTCACCCCCTCACCGCCCCTCTTCTCCTTCTACTACTTTCTCCTTCCACCTCATTTATTCTTCTCTTTCTCTCCTCTCTTCTTTTCTTTTCCCCTGCCTCCCTCTTTCCATCTTTCCCATTCTTGTCTTCTACAGCTTTCACTCCCCCTTCTTCTCCATAATTTATTTTCAATCCACAGCCTAATATGTACTCACAAGCACTGGATTAAACCCCCCCCCCAACACACACACACACACAACACACACATAAATACACACATTTGAATATTTATGAGTTATGCATAATGGTGAAATCAAATCCTAGACCCAGTTTCACCCATGGTATTCCTTTAAAGTACTTCTGTTTTTGACCTACTTGGAATATATTATACATATTTGCTTATGTACATGCTTTCTCCTCTATTGGTATGCGAACTCCCTGAACTCAGGAATTGTTTCATTTTGTATTGGTTTTTCCAGCATATGGGACAGTGCTTGGCATACAGCAGGAACTTAAAAAATACTTGTTGATTGACCTTTAATTCTGATTTTGAACTTGACATCGTATAAAGCTTGATTTTTCAAAGCATTTAAAAGGACCTATCAATCTTATAGCTTTATCCTTCACCTAGAAACCCACTCCTGTCCACAAATCTAGTGCCTATATGCTTGATTCTCAAGGTCATCTGCAGTCCCAATGCCACTAAGACTATTCATATTCAGTTATGTCCATACAGGTTATATAATGTGACCTGAGATATTAGAAATAATAAATCAGGCCAACTTACTAAGGAAGGAGACTGAGAGCTAATATGCACGATAATGAAGGCCCCAGACCAGGGAACGTCACCAAAGGAAAACAACACACTGTCACCAGAAGATAACACTGAAGACAATGCTCTCTAAAAGAAGGATTCCCAGAGAGACACAGAAAGAAATATGTACAAGTAATTCAAGATAGTTGCCAGGCTAACCTATGGGAGGATGTGATGTAGCCATGAATTTCCTGGCCTTTATCTGCTATTAAAAACTATTTAAAAAATTTAGTTCATGTTAGTCATTGGATAAAAGGCTATGCCTTTTAAACTAATCAGGATTAATTATTTTTCCTTCTTTATACTAGAAGTTGATGACTGGGTAAAAATAAGCTCAAAGGTGATGAGCCAGCTCATTTTGCTAGATGAAGGTATAAAAGAAAATAAAATGATCCATGGACTTCATCTTTTTTTGAGTATAAAAAATGAATCATCCGATTAAAGAAGTGGGTTATTATAATAAACTTTAATGTGTGCTTCTTATAAGATGCCAACAAACAAGGCTGATTAAAGATTTTTATCTCTCTTTTTAAATGATCTTACTTACTTTCATTTGTTTTTGTCTGGCACGTGATTTCTCCAATATAGGATGTAAACTAATAACTCTTCTGTAACTTGTAGTCTTAGAGAACTTACCTGGGTCACTGAGAGGTTAAGTCTAGTACATGTCAGAGTCAAAACTTTGGTCATCCTGACTCCTAGGGCAGTCATCTATACAATGTCCTCCGCCACCCCTCGTTTCTGGTGACATAAGTGATTACAGATAACAGATATTTAGATGCTATATTGGTGGCAGTGAAGAGGCTCAATGGCTAGAGTGTTGTGCCTAGAGTCAGGAAGATCCGAGTTCAAATTTGGCCTGATGTTTACTAGCTGTGTGACCCTGGGCAAGTCACATGCTGTTTCCCTTAATCCACTGGAGAAGGAAATGGAAAACCACTCTAGTATCTTTGCCAAGAAAACCCCATGGTCAGATGGTATGCTATGTTCCACGGGGTCACAAAGAGGCAGACATGGCTGAATGACTGCACACCAACAAGATGCTATATTCTGTTTTTACCAAAGATTGGACCTGAACTATTTCACTTATTTTCAATAATATTTGAAGTAACAATAGCATGCTACTTTAAGCTTCTCTTATGTATCTATCTCCATCTGATACGTGTTTGCAAATATAACAATCCTTTGATTTCAAGAGAAGCCAATATATTTCTCATTTTCTCCTTGTCATTAGTCTCTATCACTGTATCCCTGTGGCATGATGTTGAAGTGAGAAATAGGGTTACAGAAGTGAGACAAAGAGGTTAAGTAACTTCCTATAATTAATGGCAGAGCCAAGACCAAAATCCAAGTCACCTGACACACCTGAAGTTCAATAATTTTTTTTTCTCATTAGACTATATGGCTATTGTGAACTTAATAGAGCTAAAAATAATTCTGGCATCTATAAAATATAGTTAAGTTTACAATACACTATGATATATTGTGAGGGGATGCAAAGATTAATAAAGCTCAGGTCCAAGGCCTCACTTTCTTCACTTATGTAGGATAGAAAAATATATATACAGAGATAATTATAACGCTAGGCAGTACATGTTAAGTCACTTATGAATGGTACAAATAATCATAGCCGCAGAGGGGAAAAAAGGAGGTTATTAGGTGAAAAGGATGACTAGGATTTTGCTAAGTTGTAGTTAGGAAAGTGTATGAGGATATTCTAAATGCATGAGTAAAGATTCAAAATAAGAAAGGGCAAATATTTATCAGAGGCAATGAGGAAACAAGTTCTGGCTGAGCAGAGAGTTAATTTAGAAGAGTAGATGACAGACTTTGAAAAGGTAAAACCTGTATGATGAGGTGAACAGGCTTCAGTTATCCATAACAATGAATTTCCTACTTGCTTCCAGACTATAAGAGACCATGAAGATGTTTTCCCAATATTGCTAATAGGTAGAGTAGGGGTGGCTAAATAAGCTGGTTTCTGAATATTTGTGATGAAGCATATGGCACAGAGTTTGGGTGAGCAGAGGATGGAGAATTAACATTTGTTCTGAGTGCCTATGTGGAAAAGAAGACAAATGCTAAGGACACATGAATGTGTGGAAACAGAAGGAATATGTGATGGTGTCTCAGTGAATGAGTCAGTGACAATATGGGGACATATGGATTAATGAATAATTTAAAGGTATGTTTAGGATCGTTGGATAGACTTGCAGAGGTTTCAAGGTATCCCCTTAGGACCACTTCCATTTAGATAGTATGGAAAAATTAAGAGTTATGGCATGTGTCCCTAGTCTGTGTCCAACCAACAAAATGGAGGCACATTTTGTATTTGTGCTGAATCTCACGGACTGGTTCTAGCCCCCTAGTTGTCTTTGCATGTAAAAAAAAAATTGTACTTGGGGTAGGGATGGGGATGAGCATAGTAGGAAACCAGAGTATGGAGAATGACTGAATTTGAGATCATATGTGAACAGATCTATGTTATTAGTAAGAGAAACAACTTGAAAAGTAAAGACAAGACTCTGGGAAATACTGAACATCTAAACCATCAACTTGGACTTCATTCAGTAAGCAATTGTTGTTCAGCCATTTTCAATCATATCCAACTCTTTGTGACCCCATCTGGGGTTTCCTTGGCAAGGATACTGGAGTGGTTTGCTATTTCTTTCTCCAGCTCAATTTACAGATAAGGAAACTGAGGTAAATAGGGTTAAATGACTTGACCAATGGGAAGTTATAAATGGCTTGTGAGTAGGAAGCTTGATATAATAGCAGTGTTTAGGATAAATTGAAATGGGAAGAGCCTGGAAACAGATTACTTTACTTAGATTTCCCCAAGTACTAGACCATTCATTATTACCTAAAATTGATGAGATGATTAATTTGGCTTCCCCATCCCACATACATGTTGTGAATTAGTGAATATGAAAAAGTCAGTAGCTCAGTCATTTTTCTGCTTTTATATTTCTTTTCATTTATATCTCTAGTTACTTATGAATTATTCTTAATCATGTTCATAATGCGGGTACCTCATCCAGATGCTCTTTACTTATCTTTGTAGACCACTGTCTCATTTTATAGTTGTTCTAATCATTAATCACTTTGCCCTAAATGTTATCACTTCTTATCAGCAATCAACTTGCCAATGCTGTTACTTCAAGGGTCTAGAGTAGATGAGAAATCAAATGAATCTGTTTATACATTTTAAAGCCTGACATGGCTTTTCAGGCTTATAAATGAGGTGCTTGTGTAAGGGTTGTGTTTGAATCAACCAATGGAATCACTATAGTTCATTTAAAGTAAGTGATGAGATGTTAGCCTGGATCCTTTTCTCAAGTGAGAATAATCAACCAATAAATGAGGGATGAATTATGTGTGACCAAGGCCTAGATATCAGACAACCACAGATTTTAGACTGAGTGTCAGGTCATTTGTCAGTTTAGAAGTCCTTGAAAGCCTTTGGATGAACTGGAGTGGTACTGCATTGCAAGTGTGATCTCATTGGTTAAGAAACCTGGATGCCTTATCAGTGGTCTATAAAATAGCAACCTAATTTTGAACCCAGAAATTTGAGTATAGAGAACCTTAATGGTTTTATTATTCATCATTTCAGTTGTGACTGACTGTTCTTGACCCCATTTGTTTTGTTTTTTTGGCAAAGATACTGCAGTAGTTTGCCATTTCCTTCTCCAGCTCATGTTTCAGATGAAGAAACTGAGGCAAACAGGGTTAAGTGATCTGCCCATGGTCACACAGCTAGGAAGTGTCTGAGGCCAGATTCAAATTCAGGAAGATGAGTCTTCCTAACTTCAGCCTTGGCACTTTGCTTATTCTGCCACCTAACTGCCCCTAAAGATGGAAGCCTCAAACCAAGCCCCTGTAAAGGAATCATTTCTAGGGGATGGGAGAAGGAAGAAAGTATACCTCCCTTTCCTCACCCAGTTTGATCATAACAAGATCTTATACATTTTAGACTTCATGCCAGCATCCTAGAAGTGTCCCCCAGGACAGCAGTGCTCAGCAGCAGTGTCTGCACAAATATCTGAGGATAGAATGGATCCAATGAGGAAAGAAAGATTCAAGGCTCAGTGGGGAGACCATTAGAAAAGCTAGACCACACAAAAGGTGAAAATCTCAAGGCTTCCAACAAAAGGACTTCTAGGAGCTGAGGTACCCCTTTGTGACATATATTCTCTGAACTTTAGAGACTATACATACTTGTGGAAGAGCATATCACAACCTTTTGGGGGAATGTTCTATCCCCACGATTCTGAAATCTAATTGAATCTGACTAATTTATATCAATCACTAATGATGGAGGAACCACAATGACGTAGGTTCAGGAATTATATTACTGCAAAATTACCATCCCCCAATCCATGAGGGCTGCCCCTGAACTTTGAATTGATGATAAGTAGGCACTGAAGCTCTGGGGAACTGGGCCTGCCAGTTTAAGTAGTTGTAAGAGTAGCTCCAGAGAGAATACTTGACTTGTAGCAGATGATAACACTCTCTTAGGATGGAATTAATAGTAGTCCTACAAGAATATTATTCTAATGCCCTAACACTCCCTGCAGAAGGTGTGCTATTTTTGTTCTTTAACTGCTTGTTTTAATGGAGATGGTAGAGAGGCAATATGGTATATTAGACTTGGAATCAAGAGGCATGAGATCAAATCCTATCTCACTAGCTGTGTGGCTCTGGACCAGTCACTTAACCTCTCTGGAGCTGTTTCTTTCTTTAGTAAGATGGGTATAATAACACACATTTCACATGGTTGCTGTGAAGCTCAAATAAGATAATGTATAGAATAGAACTCTTCATAAGCTTTAAAGCACCATTTATATGTTGTTATTATTATTACTGTTTTCAAATTATATAACTTTTCAGAGGCTCAATTTAATCATCTAAAAAAAACAGGGGAGGGAGTATCTATATCAAAGGTTATTGTGAGCAAAACATCTTGCAAAACTTCAAATATTATACAATTGAGGTAATATTATTATTATTATTTTGCTAGGCAATAGGGTTAAGTGACTTGCTCAGGGTCACACAGCTAGACGTAATATTATTAAACAACTTAAGCTCTAGTTGATTCTTTCCCAACCAAAATAACAGTGAATGACTTTGTCCTCCCAAAAGCAGACAAGTCACTCATTAAAAAAAAAGTCAGAGAGATTGGACAACATTTAAAGGCCTCCTCAGCTCTTCCAGTTACAGGGATCTCACTTGAGCAGAACATTGACTGAAAAGTTTAGATTCATAGAAACTGGGAAAAAGTACTAGAGGTTGGCAAAATAAAACCAGTATAACTTCTTAGGAAGATGGCCTACAAAAGAAGAGTAAGTCCTCTGTGAAGAGTCCCCTAATGAATATGGAAGTGTTTGAAATTAAACAAAAGCATGACAGGAAGAACACAGTTGACCATTCATAGCTTTTAAAATTTACCTCATCTCAAAAGAAAAGGTTTACAGGGAGTAGTTTCATAAAATGATCAAATAAAAAACAAAACAAAAATCTTTGTAAATACCATAGCGTCATTTCCCACAAACATGATATAAAGCTACAAACCCAATAATAAAGTATTTTAGTAACTGCCCTCTTTGGATGTTAGCTTTCTATGAATTATAAATGCCAACCATTCCACACCACAATTGAGTTAAGTTTATAAATTCTATATTTATGACCATTGTAAATAAAATTAGTAAAATTTCAGTGAATTTCATTAACCAACTATTTTGAGATGAACAAAGCTTTGAAGTGTCACTCTGTTGCCACTGAGCAGAGGTGAAGACGTGAGCTCTGGTTTATACACTCAGGTGGGGTTATCCAGAGTAAGCTTCCGTGAGGGTATAAAAGTTGCACTAATGTTGAGCCTAAATTTTTTTTTTAATAACCACAACAGTATTTATTTTTATCTTAAGACATGCCTATTTCAGGTACATTCCTACAAGTTTAATTTTGGCTTCTAGTTAATCTGCCCCTATTTACAGGGGCTTCTAGGACCCACCTGGGAATTCCAGCTCTCTTTAAGAATTAGGAATAAGCAGTTATCTTGGTAATAGGTCAGCAGGAACCTTTTCTAATACCCTGGGAGGCCCATATACAATGTCCTTCCTTATATATTGGTTGCCTGCTTCCTGTAGATAGAGGTAGCAGCAACAGCAGTGGCGAGTCTAGGAAAAATCACAAGCTCCCATCTGTCAATCTAGTTTTTTTCCTCTCTGGCCCATCTTCCATCACCAGATTAACCTTTACAATTCACTTCCTCAAGGCAATATTATTCCAGCTAACTCTGTTTTCTAATCACTTCTTTATTCTAAGTCCCTTTAGTGCTTACAAATTTAATCTGTACTATGTTATCTTGTACATTTTAACATGTTGCATTCAGTATTCAAGGTTTTTTGTTTTGTTTTTTTGTATGTGCTTAGCATCTCTAACAAGATTGTTAGAATTTTGAGGAATGTCTTCCTTTTTCTCCTGTATTTCTAAGGAACACTTGTGTAAAAGTAAACATATATATATATACACACACACATATACATATATATAATATATGTATATATATATAATATATGTGTATATATGTATATATATATATATTATATATGATAAGATGTGGATTTTGCTGTATCCTAAAATATAACAAATTTGAGAAGCAATCTAAAGATGGAATTAACTTCTCTCCTCAAAACAGCTAGGTGACTCAGTATTTAGACTGCTAGACTTGAAATCAGGAAGACCTGAGTTTAAATTTTGCCTTAACCACTTATTAGCTGTGTGGCCCTGGGCAAGTCACATAACTTCTGTTTGTCTCAGTTTCCTCATCTATGAGGTCGGAATAGGAATAGCACCTCCCTTACAAAATTGTTCTGAGGATTAAAGGGGATAATATTTTTAAATAGCTTACTGAACCTTAAAACAACATGTGAATGCTAGTTGTTATCATCACCACCACCATCATCATTCTGTTAATATTGTTGTTATAGGTCCTGCTGCTCTTTTCCTAAGTTGTTATGTATTCAAGCTTCATGAAATTCCAGGTCATGGCTAGTCCACTTACAAAGTATGTATTGTAGCAACATCCTATGTAGATGGCAATGCTGTCCGATAGACTAGAGAACACTATAAATATCAATTCCAAGATCAGATCATTTAGACATCTTCTTTGACTTAACATACCTGCTTCATATGTGGTGGCGTGCGCAGTCATACTCCATGTACTTGATCTTTGACCTTTGGTTACCATGACTGAGAATTCATACATAGTGTTTGGTTTAAGGCCTGTTGCTGTGTGACTCAGAGATGTTATATCTGCTGACTACACACATGGGGGAAAAAAAGCAAGTAGAGAAACACTGTGAACTCTATCAACACTGTAAATCAAGACATGGGGGAAAAAAAGACTATCAAATAATCCAGCAATAAAACACATGGACTTCCTGGCAGCAGAAGCATTTGCTAGTAGAGAATATTAGCTCTAATTTCTTTTTGGGAAGTACAAAGATACAGTATTATATTCTGGTAAATGATACATTATTTTATATTTTATATTATATATGTATATAATATTATATTTTTATTATATTCTGACCAACTGTAAAGCAAGCTACATCCAATAAAGCAACTTTTATACTAAACGATGATTTAGCATCATAACCTTTCTTACTATAAGAACCTGCCATACTCTTGAGAGAAGTGAACTACAGTGACAGGCCACAGGTTACATTATTCTAGGATCTTTTTTAGCTTAGAGAATGCCTTTGTAGAACAGATCACCAGACTGGATTCAATTTTGTTATAATAAATTCAAATTATATCCATCAAAGGTTTTTAATATTGGTCATTGAATATAGATTAATTTACGTAAGATCCAGCTTCAGGACTATATTTCGAATTGTAGCTACTTATGGAAATCCTTACAGATTGATTATTAGCTCCATATAGGTATAGGTTGTCTTAAGTTAATCTTTATGTCTCCCTGAGGATCTATCGCATTCTTCTACACACAGTAGGAATATAATAAACAGTGGTTGAAGGTAATGCTGGAAATATTCTTCTTTTTGTAAGACTTAAAATATCTTTGACATCATTCTCTTTAGGTGGTTTAAACTTGCCAAAATAAAATTTCTGCATATATATATGCATATATATATATATACACACAGACATATATGTTTTTGTATGTGTGTATGTATATGTACACATATGCACACACATATATACATACAAATGTATATAAATGCATAAACACGCATGTGTATATATATATATATTTTTTTTTCTGTCAATATATTCTACAGTTAAAACTTTTTTTTTCTATTTCTTGGTGTGAAGATTTATGGACCAATTAATGTTAAACCTCTGCCTATTAGTTCCCTGGAATCCTTCACACTCAGGACAAACACTGCTTTCTGCCGGGTCCCAGATCACCCCTTTCAGCTAGTTCCTTCCCATCTCAGATTCCTCTCTATCTACCTTGTATGTATTTATATATTTGTACTTAGTTATTTGCATGTTGTCTCCTCCATTAGAATGTGAACTTTTTAAAAGTAGGGATAGTTTTTGCCTTTCTTTGAACTGTCAGAACTTAGAACATCAGCATCTAGTAAACATGAAATAGATGCTTGTTGACTGAAGAACTAAACATAAACACTTAAATATGGTCACTTGAACTGAATGGAAAAGGATGAAGAAATGATATTTAAGATTAAGGGATTTTATTGGTTTGCTGAGTATTGCTACCATTATGTAAATGGAATGAATCCCTTGACATTTCTTGACTTTTGACAACAGGTTAAGGAAATGTTAGTGGAAGGTTAAATTTGTTTTCAGTCCTTACTGTTTTTGATATTCAAAAGAAATCACCCTGTCTCCTGGGCTAATATGTATCATTCACGGAAAGAGGAAAGTTTGAAACTCTTTATAAATCTTATAAATATAGATTCATACTTGGTATTTAGACTGTGTAACTTGTCACAGGCTTAAATATTTACCTTGCTTTCATTTTTGATACAGGTGTTATTTTCCTGAGTTAAGATGATTAACAAAATGGCATTCAACTTTTTCCCCAGTTTCCATGCAGCACCTCCCTGCTCATTGATTAAGAACATGATATTTGGGGGGGGGATCGTCTATTTTTTGTGAATTATTATTCATATCCTTATGAGGGAAATGATATGGGCATACAGTATTAACAAGAACCACTTATGTGACCACCATAATAGACTGACTCAAATTATAGCTACCTGTGGGCACCTTATTTCCTTGAATTGACCATAATCTCTTTGCATGAAGCAATAGTTTCTCATACATCGTGAACCAGGATATATAATAAAAACTTGACTTTAGTAAGTTCTCAACACATAATTGTCAGATTAATCAATGATATATTTGGCTTGCTATAGAGCATTTTTATAGTGATAAGTAAAAGATGCGTGCTTAGGCTGATGTGGATCTTCAGCTCTCAGGAGTTATTGTCTGTTTTTTGTTTCTTTGTTTGTTTTGGTAAGCACAAGTAGAGTATTCAAAACAGAGCTTAAAGTAGGTGGAAGTCAGTGAAAATGATGTACTTTGAAATCAGCACACCTGAGTCATTGTGTAACAATGGACAGGTCATTTGACTTCTTTAGGATTCTTTTTCCCTACCTGTAAAAAGGTAGGTGACAAATGTCTTATGTATTGCTTATGGTTATAGGAAGGATGAAAGGAGATAATCATTATGCTTTGAAAAGGATTGAAATGGGATGTTTTATTACTGTTCAGTTTTAGAAAAATTTAAATTAATTATATATCTAAATGGATGTAAGATGCTTTAAGATATGGTCTGTAAGTTACCTTCTACCACTCATCCAACTGTCTTTTTCTTATTTTATCTTTCCTTTCCCTCTCCTCTGGGTGAGGTGAGGGAATGTGCCAAGAGTAGTAAAGGCTGGTATTTGGGATGAGGATGGGACCAATCTTGTTCCATTTTCTACTCTTATGATATGATCTATAAGAGGAGGGAAAGGGAGAGAAGGCTTCTTTATTCTCTATTAGTAATTCAAACAATAGCTGTAGGAAGGGAAATGCTGGATCTAGCAAATTCTGACTCACAAGAAACATTTGTTAAATCTTCCATATGAAAACTTATATGTCAGAAATAGGAAAATGCTACAAATCAGGGTTTGGTTTATCATTTTGTTAATTAGCTAAACTTAAGAAAATGACAGGAGAAAATATTAAAAAATGCAGATTAAACTTAAAAGTGTATTACACATGCATTGTTTTTTGGGGAGAGCACGTAGTTAAATATTTACAGCACACTGTTGGCTATAGGATACTACAGGTAAGTGTTTAGCTATGTCACATGATTAGAGAGTTTTAAAATATCTAGTTTTAAATAGACTTTAGAGGGCCTCTAGTCCAACTTCTATCCAAATCATCAATAGCATCCCTCGCAAATGATCATCCAGACTGCATTTGAAGACTTCTAGTGATGTGGAACTCCTCACTTCCTTACATAGGCCATTTGAGTACTGCTATCTATATTACTGAAGGACTTTTTTGAAGGAATTTTAATTATGTTTTAACTATGCAAAAGGATAATCTACGTGTTGCCAGAAAATTTGGGAGCTGGGATTAGCCTGATTCAAACTATCATTACTCTGCTGGATTTTCCTTGTTCTCTACTTGACAGGGTAGACACTTCTGTTCTGTGAAGTGAATTTTTATAGATGATGTACTATAGCTATATCTGAAAGCTTTCATAGAGTTGTCATCTTCTAGGCTTATTAATTCATTGCATTCCTCAAGGGGCAAAAGTGACGGACATTGATGAAATTGTATTTAAATATTAGGGAGGGAGAAAGAGCTTATTCTAAATAAATTTAAACTAAGTTAATGGCAGCATATGGACTCTGTTTAATAAAAATGTTCAAATACATTCCTGCGGATACCTTGTTTGATAATGTTGCCTTTTTTTAGGTGCCATTAGCTTTTTACGTTAGTACTTTATGGAGATAGACTACTTTTTTCATATCCTTATATCAGTACTGCTATATGAACTTAACTGGTGAGTTTTTTTTTTTTCAAATTCTGACCTAGAATGTTAATAGAACAAAAAGGAAATTGCTTTTAAATGGTTTAGAGTAAAATTATCATGAAATATGGATTCTCTGCAATTTTAAAGTCAGGAAATAATGCTAAGAGATTGAGAAAAATAAGCGTATTATCATTTTTTCCCCTCAATATCTAAGCTCATATGTGAAGAGAAATTTTCAAAGGATACTTTAGTCTTGAAAAATAGACAGAATACAAATTTGAAGCTATCTTTGTTCAATAGTAAGGAAGCAGAGCAGAAGCAAAGGAAAATGAAGACATGGCAGAGCCAAGCTGCTAATTTTTCTTAGTGGGTTGCTAAAGCTTATACACTTATTAGCAAGGCTACATTAGCTTATGCAATCTTTCATTTTTTTCCTTAACATTTGAAACAAATATCATCTTAATATCCAGAGAAGAAATTAGGCAATAACCACTAACCTGTGCTTCCTTTCTCAATAACATACCCTGTATCATACAGTTTGAGGCTCTCACTTACTATTTGTTGATAGATTGATTTTTTCCCTTGTCTATAGGTGGTATCTATCATTTCTCCAGTCTACACTAATTGAAAATGTTTAAAGGGTGTTGAAGTTCCTTGTGTGTAACCTTTAGGCTAGGGTGGCCTTGAGGTTGAGCATTCAGTAATCCTAGCCATACTTACATCAACCATTCCTAGAGGGAAGTGATAAGAAAGGCTTTGGAAATCCACCAAATTTATCATAAAAAGTAAAATCAGTATTACTATATTGGGTCCTCTCTCTATCTCAAAGGGGGTACTGGAAGTCTGAATGGATGGTGCTATAAACGTAAAGGCATAAATCATTTTCACATGTTTGAACACATTCCCTCCAAATGCAGTCTGGTATTCTTAACAGGACTACCTTTCGTATTATCAATGCTTTCCTTTAAAACAAACAAACAAACAACAACAAAAACAGATATCCAAATCAGGCTGGAAAGTTGAGGAGGAGAATTGTCAGTAACATTACCATCTCCACTGCTACCTTTGGGATATAGAATTCAAGTAAACTGCAGATACTCCAGAAAGTATAAACATGACTTCTCTTTGACAATCCAACAACCATTAAAAACAATACAACAATGAATGAAAGAAAAACATTTGTTTGATAATACATAACATTAGTTAGAACTTTACCTTATATTTTGCACTTGCAGAAAAGCTGGTCCTCCATCGGACGGTGTAAAACCGAACTTCAGTTGTTTTCTGATTCTTAGGGACAGAGTTGTCTGCCCAGCTGACCCTCACAGCATCGTGGGTAAGTGCAACAGCCTGAACACCTACTGGTGGGAGCATGGGGGTGGAGATATCTGGGACTGAGGTAGGGAAATCATCAGGTAAAGGATAAAAATCAGCTTCCAATGGGTCAATGGGATCTGGGTTAAACACCCACCAAATGAAACAAACAAATAAATAAATAAAATAGTTTAAAAATAAATATTGGTGATAACACATCACAATGAGTTAAATGCATGGCAATAATGATGAAGAAAAACATGAGAAGAACAGAAAACATGTCATTAATTTAATCAGAAAATGCATTAGAAGTAATATTGCTACTTCATAATAAAATAATATTTTCCTAAACAAACTCCAATCAATTCTTCATACATTTTGCATTCATATCTACAAATTATATTCAAAAGCAAATATCTTTGTAGGTGTACATTGGTATTTAAAAGAATTAACAAAAAACTGATTTCTGTATATACTTGCAGCTTAAAATTAAAAGGACAAAAGAGAATTTGAAATCTGTGACCAATTTCCTCCTATGGAGGAAAGTTTTCATCTTAGTAATTTACTTCCATTCTCTTACTTTCTCCCATTCCAAGTCCTCTCTCCTATTGTAATCCTATCATGCTTTGATTGTTGCTCATCCTACATCAGCATTCATATTTGGAAGTCATGAAGCAAGAAGAGTAAAGAATGGGGTCTTCTGAATTTCACAATGACAAGTCTATGACTGGTGACTCCACACTGTGCTAGAGTGATAGTTATTCACATTCGTGGCTGGTTTGTGGCTTGGCTTGTTCCAGATGAATTATTTTCTGAGGGAGTCAACATAATTCAGTTATATGTCTGTCAACAATGTAGTCTTCTGGTAGTGACCGCAGTAGCTGATCTTTGCCAAGGACCCACATAGATGGTGTGGATGACTCAGCTTCAGTTTTTCCCAATTGTTGCAAATCAACAAGCTCAGGCATTTAAGAGAATCCAAGAGTGTGTTGTCCTTATCATCTAGTTTCAAGCACTCTGTATCTCTCTGCCTGTCTTAAACACAAGGCTAACATCTATACCTTATAGACAACTGGCATTTGGAAAATGCATCATTTTACTCATGGATAGGATAATTGAATTTGTCTAATGATGGAACATCACAAAAATATTCTGAAATTCTTTTATTACATTTTAGTCTCAGCAAATTAGATTTATAACTGCTCATTTGTGATGATAGTAATAATTACATTTCTATGTACATCAGATGGGGAACGGAAAGGGGGAAAATGATTTTAAATAGCATCCTCATTCTTATTATTTATAAATGAGATATGACATTACAGGTCTTAGCCATGGGCAGGTTATTTGAAGAGACCAGTTGGAATTTAGTACATGTGTCAATATATCTCTACAACATTTATTTTTTTTTAAGAATATGACTTAAAGCAAAACCTTGCTGATTTCTGATGATTGCTTCAGTTTGTCCAGACTATTTCATATGTCTACCCCTACTTTATCACACTGTTTTCCAGTGAATTATTTAGTAGTTGACTGAGCTCTAGTCTTTGGAAAAGGAAAAACAAATGGAAAAAGAAAAGAAAGAGAAAGAAAAATGTGTGTTTAAAATTTAATGATAGAGCCCAGGCTCTTCAAATTTCCTTTGATGCCTCTTTCATTAAGGCTCCTTTAAACCCAAATGGATTTATGAAATGATGGGAGAAACTGAAGACAGTATTATTTCAGTAAGGTCTCGGACATCAGGTGGGTATCTATCAAGTTAGTGTAGTATATGAAAGTTTTGGGGGGTTTTTTTTGTCTCCTTTTTGGTATGTGTTCTAAACCATAGCAGATTCTGTCCCATTCTGTTTTTTAATTCTCAGTTCAGTTTTTTGAGGCTAGTTTTCCAAAGACAGCACAAGTAAAGCAAAACAAGACTTCTTGGCTTGGGATCAGGGTTTATTTCTTTCCTCCTTTCTTAGGTTGACAAATAACTCAGTTTTTCAAATTTAGTTGTGCTAGCAAATGTACCTATCTAGAAAATATTGAAGAGGCTAGGAGCTACAAAAATAAAAGATTAGATATCCTTTAGTAGCAAAACTTTAAATCCTGAAACCAAATACTTCTGGACTTCATAATTACCTATTTGCAATGATTTGATAATCTAGTTTCTGAAAAATAAGTACCTGAGTGATTTCCTTATGTTTAAAAATATCCACCTTTGTTGATGTTTCTGTGTGGTCAGCTGTGATTTTAGAATTTCTTCCCTTGAATATCTGGCCTCACTGGTACTTATATTCTTTGGACATGAACTTGTCATTCATTTGACACTTCCTCTAGAGAGACACTTGCATACAGATCTTGCTAATTTGTTTTTCCACTCAGGCCTGTCAGGCCAGAGACTACCCAGGAAGCACAATTTAAGGGCTTTCTATGGATGTTGAACAGTTTTCCAAAAACAGTTTTCCTGTGTGTGCTCCATGCAGCTGATTTTCTGGTGGCCACAGCCAGGAGAGAGCTAATGTCAGAGGAGATAAATTATGGAGCACTGAGGCAGGAGCCTTTTGGATAAAAATTGAAGCAATCCCAATGCTGGACTGGTATGTCAATAGGCTCCCATGAATTTAACAGCTCTCTAAGGCACAAACCAGGTTGGAAGAAAATAATAGTAATTATCCTCATTTCAAACAACAACAACAACAACAAACAAAACCTCTCCCACATCCTGGCTTTATTTCATTGGAGACTTGGTGGAAAAAAATAAAATTTAAAAAAAAACCCTCAATTGATCCAGTAGAGATTTTAAAAGATACGGGTCTATTGCAATTGCTCAGTAAGTGGTTATAACCCCCCTCTAACCTGTACCTTTTCTATTCACCAGGGAAAATGAACATTTAGAAAAGCAGGCTTGTGCTTAACTCTAGATGTATTTCCTTGCCTGTGTGTATATGTATGTGTATCTGTACGTGTTTTATTTTGTTTTCATTTTTGCCTTTATATTAGTCATATCCCAAGTTGCATCATAGGAATACTTCTGAAAAGCAAAAGGCCGAGTATGTTTTTTTCTTATGCATCTACTGGGCATTCATTTGATAAAGGTACCCCCAAAATTCACCCCATCTGTCTATTTGTTCTTTTGTTCTCAGTGACCCATAAATTCGTCTACTAGAAAGTTCCTGACATTGAACATGAATTTTTTTTTAAAATCAAATAATGCTGTCATCCTCCAGGGAAAAATACTGAAGGAATATTATCTTTCTGTCCATCTTCCTTACAACCCCATTCTCTTTATTTTTCTTTCCCTGGCTTTTCAAATACATCCCATTCCAAACTCTGAAATTTCTTTGCCTCACAAGCCAATTAAGATTGGAAACACAAAAGGAAAAATACATTTGATGAGCCATAGGCATCTTAAAAACCATGTGTGGAGAATGGGATATGCTTATCATGAAGCAATGAGAATGCCTGGGCCAGATAAGGAGAGCATAGCATGTTAAAAAAGGGTTGAATAGCTCATAGTAAACTACTTTCACCTTAGCTAGAGCTCTGCATTATCATCAACTAATAACTCCTGTCATTGATGTCTGGACTTTTTTTATCATACTAATTTTTATTGCTTAACATTCCTAACTTGCTAGTAGTTACACATAGTAAGTCCTATGCCTGGACCATGACAGATGTTGGTATGTTAATCCGATGTGCAGAACTACTGAGAAAAATTAGAAGTTTGTCACAAACCAAACATGTCAGTATTAGTATGTCTTCTCAGAATTTTATTTCTATAACTCTTTACTCAGAAAGAAAATATTTGACAAAGAAAAATGTATAGATCTGTCCCTCAATAATCTCTGCTAGCAAGGGAGAAAGAAAACTGGAGAAATAAAAATCCTGGGTAGTCAAAAATATCATCCTAGATGCTAGTTTCAAACTTGGGTTCCAACTAACTCATTAACTTCAGTTATTAAAAACTAACTTTATAGTCATTACTTTATTTGGAGATGAATGTTATTGGAGGTGTTTCAATATACACAAACCATTTACCCAAAAACATCTGGTTCAACACAATCTCACAACTGGGTAATTCAAAACCACCAATTTAACTGGATTCAATAACCAGATATTTTCAAAATCATTTGTCACATCTATATTTTAAATAATAATTAGGGCTTGCCCTCAACTAATCTGTAAGACAAGTAAAAGACTTCAGGGTACCTGAAATAGACCTATTTCTGTGCATTTTTCCTCTCTCCTCTTCCCTAATTCTTTCCCCTTTAGATGTTCAAGATTCTAGAGATCCTCCTAGTATAGAAACAGTATAGAAACTGCTTTAAGATCTTTGATTAACTTTAGAGTCAATGACTGATGACCAAGAAAGTGTTACCTTTCCTAATGGGATTTGCATTTCAATAGGAATCAAAATCTTTAATTAAGCTAAAGAGACAGCTGAGAGCATAGGATTTCAAAGAATCAGAAATTTTGGTGCTCAGTTAAGGGACTTCATTCAGGATCCTGAAATCACACTGTATAGATAGCTACTACTCCAAGTAGAGTAAGACTCAGATAAAGCATTGTTAACTAGTAGGTCATACTGATGTGATTAAAAATTATGTCCTTTTCCTTCCTTTTCCACTTCTCAAGCTTTGCCTTTCTTCCATTTTACCTATAGGCATAGAATAGCAAGCAGCATTTATAAACGCTAGACTCCAGTCCTCATCAGGATGGAGAAAATAGATTGTGAAGTTCTTGTAAAGAGTCAATTCATCCATTGGACTTTCTGGCTCAGATAGCTCTGAGGCAACCTGGTACTCAATCATATGACCATTTGAATGATTTCCCTGGCAGATTCCAGGACCCAACTTTCAAGGGTGAGGAAGAGACCTTGGGTACCAGGATAATGCTAGACTAAGAAATGAGTGAGTCAAAATATAATCCTCCAAACCAGCAGCCAGATGGTGAAGACCTAGAAAACAGTTTCTAAATATTTAAGAGTAGCCTACATGGAATAATGTTTCTTCCCATTTAAGCTAACTTTTTCAACCTAAATTTTTTTTAAAAAGTAAAATAGTTCTTCTACTAATCACTTTAAACTAAAATGAAATAAGGCACACAACTGGGAATTTTAAATTAGATGAATATAAAGTAAAAATCAAAAGGATTAGGGCATCAGGCTGCATATTTATGTGTACCAAATTACAGGACTTGATAACTCACTACAATTCACATACTGACAGAAGAGCAACAAGGAGATCAATGTCTTTAACTTACCTGTCATAGATCTGGTGGTGGCACTTTCATAGAGAGGAACTCCCTCTCCCGCATTGTTAAAGGCTTTTAGGGAGATTACATAATGGGAACTTGGCTCTGCAGATGAAATAACAACAAAACAACATAGGCATTATGTTAGTCAGGTTCCCAAACACTCAGAGTGAACATTTTCACCAAAGAAATATAGTATAAGGTAGTCAATAAATGATGTTTTCAAGCAATAAGTGAAATTTTTGTCAAAGCTGTCAGGTCTTCTTTGTTCACAGGCAATGCTTCTTTGGGGTTGTTAGCTCTTTATTATTTTACCATATGAGGCAGATGAAGGGTATTGAAGGAGAACTAGAATGGAATTTAGAAGACCTGGGTTCATGTATGGTCTTGCCAATTACCTTTAGCAAACCATACTACTAGATATGTGTGAGTGTGTGTGTGTGTGTGTGTATGTGTAGTTAGGTCAGGGAATAGCTTGTTATGACTGCAGTTTTCTAAATTCAGTCCAATCTGCTCTCTGTTCATTTTTGGGCTTTCTGCATTGAACATTCATCAATGCCTACCCAAGACGCATGGACTCATATAGTCAATCCAATGGGCCATAATCAGGACAACAGGCTTTTTTTTTTTTACTGTTTATTTTTTCCTATATGAGTTGTTTAGCTGGTCTCTTTTGAATAGTTTTGGACTCATTGATGAGATTGTTGGATTGTTGCAATCAGCAAAATGTCATCCTCCAAGGGAACATCTGGAAGATTTTTCTGGCTATTGAGAATCCTTCTATTTCGACTCCAATATAACAACCTCATAATAGTGATGGGCATTTTTGGTGAATATCCATCTACGTTATGCCTTGCTGGATATTTCTTACCACGAGATCATTTCAAGTTACTTCTGTGATTATATAAAAAGGACTTTTGTCAAAACATGCATATGAGATACCTTACTGGTGAAGAAATTTCAAGGTGGCATTTTGTATTAGTAAGTCAAAAACAGTTAAAAAAAACCCAGCAAAATAATAAACAAGATCTTATGTTCTTCTCATTTTTTAGTCAATTGAGTAACTATGATAATGTGGCCTCCTACTAAAGATCATCTGTGAAAGTTTTCCTGTTTCTCATAATATATATTTCATATGCAACTAAGCACATCACAGAGACATGAGAAGTGCACCGAAATAAACAGTTTATACACATATACATTAAAAAGTTGAGTTGATAATTAGTGATTCCTTTTCAATCCTCTTGGTAGCCTTATTTTAATAGTAATAAAGGTCCAAGATTTTTTCCAATTATATAGTGTCCTGATCTGTTTCAAATATTTTGACAATTGATTCCATCACAGTTGGCATTGGTTTATTTTTTGTGTATCTAATAAGGTGTGACAGCCTTTCATATCTTTTACTTAATGGAAATTCTACTTATGGTAGTATCCAAATATGATGGTTCTGTTGTGATCAATATCATAAATACTTTACTACAGAAATGCCTAATCTGTTTCATTTTTTATTTATTTTTTTTAATTTTTTAATATAAATTTATTTATTTTTAGTTTTCAACATTTACTCCCACAAGATTTTGAATTCCAAATTTTCACCCCATCTCCCCTCCCCCACCCAAGGACATCATGCATTCTGAATACCCTTACCCTACTCTGCCTTCTCTTCTATCTCTCCCCTACCTTCTCTCATCCCCTTCCCCTTTTATTTTCCTGTAGGGCAGGATAGACTTCTGTACCCCATTTCCTGTATTTCTTATTTCCCAGTTACATATGAAAACATTTTTTTAAAAGATGTGTTTTTAAAACTTTGGTTCAAATTTTCTCCCTTCCTCCTCCCCACCACCCTCATTGAAAAGGCAAGCAACTCAATATAGGTACATGTGCAGTTATGCAAAACACTTCCATAGTAGACATGTTGTGAAAAACTAACTCTATTTCCCTTAATCCTATCCTGCCCTCCATTTATTCTATTCTTTCTTTTGACCCTGTCCCTCCTCAGAAGTATTTGCTTCTGATTACCCTTTCCCAATCTGCCTTCTCTATCATCCCCTGCTCTCTTAACCCTTCCCCCTCCCCATTTTCCTGTAGGGTAAGACAGATTTCCATATCCAATTGAGTGTGTATGTTATTCCCTCCTTAAGCCAAATCCTATGAGAATAAGATTCCTCATTCCCTCTCACCTTCCCCCGTTTCCCCTCCACTGTAAGAGCTTTTCTTTCTGTTTTTGTGAGATAATTTACCCATTCTACCTCTCCCTTTCTCTTCTCCTAGTATAATCCTCTCTCATCCCTTAATTTTATTCTCCAGATATGACCCCTTAATCTTCAACTCACCCTGTGCCCTCTATCTATCTATCTATCTATCTATCTATCTATCTAATTTTTTTCCTCCAACTACCATAATACTGACAAAGGTCTCATAAGTTATAAATATCATCTTTCCATGCAGGAATGTAAACAGTTCAATCTTAATAAGTCTCTTATGATTTCTCTTTCCTGTTTACCTCTTCATGTTCCACTTGAGTCTTGTATTTGAAAGTCAAATTTTCTATTCAGCTCTGGTCTTTTCATCAAGAATGCTTGAAAGTCCTCTATTTCACTGAATGACCATTTTTTCCCCTGAAGGATTATACTCAGTTTTGCTGGGTAGGTGATTCTTGGTTGTAATCCTATCTCCTTTGCCCTCTAATTTATTTCCATGCCCTATGTCCTTTAATGTAGAAGCTGCTAAATCTTGTGTTATCCTGATTGTGTTTCCACAGTACTTGAATTGTTTCCTTCTGGCTGCTTGAATATTTTCTCCTTGACCTGGAACTCTGGAATTTGATACAATATTCCTAGGAGTTTTCCTTTGGGGATCTCTTTCAGGAGGAGATTGGCTGATTCTTTCAATTTCTATTTTGCCCTCTGGTTCTAATATATCAGGGCAGTTTTCCTTGATAATTTCTTGAAAGATGATGTCTAGGCTCTTTTTTTGATCATGGCTTTCAGATAGTCCAATAATTTTTAAATTCTCTCTCCTGGATCTATTTTCCAGGTCAGTTGTTTTTCCAATGAGATATTTCACATTGTGTTCTAATTTTTCATTCTTTTGGATTTGTTTTACAGTGTCTTGATTTCTCATAAAGTCACTAGCTTCCAATTGCTCTATTCTAATTTTTAAGGAAGTATTTTCTTCAGTAATCTTTTGGACTTCTTTTTCCATTTGGCCAATTTTTCTTTTTAGGGCATTCTTCTCCTCATTGGTTTTTTGGACTTCTTTTGCCATTTGGGTTAGTTTATTTTTTAATGTGTTATTTTCTTCAGTATTTTTGGGTCTCCTTTAGCAAGGCGTTGACTTGTTTTTCATGATTTTCTTGCATCACTCTCATTTCTCTTCCCAGTTTTTCCTCTACTTCTCTTACTTGCTTCTCAAAACCCCTTTTGAGCTCTTCCAAGGCCTGGGACTGATTCATATTTTTCTTGGAGGCTTTGGATGTAGGAGCTTTGACTTTGTTGTCTTCTTCTGGTTGTATGTTTTGATCTTCTTTGTCAGCAAAGTAAGATAATATAGTCTGACTCTTTTTGCGCTTGCTCATGATCCCAGCCAACTTGAGTTTTAAACTCTTTTAAGGTAAAAGTCTGCTTCCAACGTGGAGAATGTACTGTCCCAAGCTTCGGGGGTTTGTACAGCCGTTTTCAGAGATACTTGTAGGGACCTGTAAATTTTCAGTTCTTCCAAGGTGGTATGATAAGGGGCAAGGTGTTTACTCCTTTCCTGGCCTGTGCTCTGGTCTGTGAGGAGAATTTCCTCTCCACTGCCACTACAAGCTCAGCACCAGTGCTCCTCCTTGCCCAAGGACTGCACCTCAGAACTGTGACCCAGATCCAAACAGAGGCAAAGCAAGAGATTCCTGCCTCAGCACTTGCAAAGAGATCCCTGCAATCCCCCTGAGATCAGCCACTTGATTCCCCCTCAGTCTGTGGGACAGAAGCTCAGGAGGCCGTGGCCACCCTGGGACCAAGCTCCTCAGAGAATGGGGCTGAGACCCCGTGCTTCTCTTACCACAGAAACACACTTTTCCCACTGACCTTCTAAGTTGTCCCTGCTGTTCATGGGTTGAGAAGTCTGGAAACTGCCACAGCTGCCCACAATTCAGTCCTTTGAGGCCTCCTCTAGGATTGCTGAGGCTTGTGCACCCACAGGAACTATGCTCTTCCTCACAGCCCAGCACGGTATACCTTTCTGATCAACCATCCAGGTTGTCTTGGGCTGGAAATTTGTTTCACTCTGTCTTTTTGTGGGTTCTGCTGCTTTAGGATTTGTTTAGAGCCATTTTTTATGGGTATTTGGAGGGTTTTGGGGGAGAGCTCAAGCAAGTCCCTGCTTTCACTCTGCCATCTTGGCTCTGCCCCAATCTGTTTCATTTTTAAACTGTTGTTCTGTTTTCATCTATGAATGTTTTTCAATTAATCTGGTTTAGTGGAGTCTCATGCTAAATTTTCTATAGACTCATTATTCCTCCTTCTGTTCTTTTCTTTATAAGGTTGTTTCGAATCTTTCATCATCCTATGTCTTAACATTTTACAAATGGGTTTGTGTCTCAGATAAGTGTTTCCCTTACAAAAGATATCAAAAGATTGTTCTGTAGGATGGTTTTTGGACTCTTTCATTTGCTTCATCATGGAAACCACTTTTCATTGGTTCAAATGCTACAGGAATTAGTGATAGTCTCTGGCATCTTTTCCTTCATTCATTTCCCATTTTTCATTAACAATAGTTTGCTTGAATATGTCACGTTGGAGCTTTGTCATTTCATGCAGTTTTCTTCTCATCTTTTCTCCTCATTTCCAAGCTTGTGTTAATTTTGACTTTTGCTTTAACTTGTTAACAAGTAGTTCTGACATGACAGCCATAAGGATTATATTTTTCCCTCTATTAAGTGGAAGTAAATTTCATTATGTTTGGTGCTCACTATGTTTTAAAGACAGTATTGTTGATGAAATATGTGAGGATTATGAGCATTCCACATTTCATTGGGCTTCATTCATTCATTCATTCATTCATTCATTCATTTATTTATTTATTTATTGAGCCATATATTTCAATAATTTTTGCCCTGTCCA